TTGTAAACTTTATAAATACTCAACATTATTTTTGTGCCATCATTGTGAGCATGTTAGCATGCTAACCTTAGCATTTAGCTCAAGTATACCCTCACAAAGTTGCTAGACTCTTGTAATATTGTTAAGTGGTATTTAGAATAAGGAAATTAAAAATTATGTTGCATTCTTTATAATATGACGTATAGTATTTTGTAGTAAAACAAGGCAGTTAATTAAAATAAACACCTCTATCTTTATATGACCTTTATTTGTAATACAGGGCATGTTACAGTGCGCTGTAGTCCGTCCCCAAATGTTGGTTTGCTCATGTCGAAGAAAGTAACTGATTTTGGCCTCAAAAGCTCAAAGACTCCTTCACTTGCATGCACAGGGATTTCTCTCTGTCTCAGACAATTGCTTGGCAGGAGCGAACACACTCACAATGCCCTCTGTTACTGTGAGTGTGTGCTCTCCATACACTGCGAACTTTTGAACCACCTCTTGACCACAGCTTGAAGAGAGCTGAGACAATGGTTAGTAAACACACTGGAGTGAATGAAGGGATTAGGTATTAAATGACAGGATGTGCTTAAAGAGGGGCAGGTGGTGGTTGAGGAAGGGCCAGCTAAGCCTCGCAGGAGTGGAACACTGTGCATCTCCCTGTGGCTTTTTCTCCATTTTCCTCATCTTCATGCTCTGTCTCTACTGCTCTTCATCTTCCACAGTTGTCCTCCGTTAGCTCATCTCTTCCTGCTCATTTCCCTCGCTTTCTATCTCATCTCGCTGCTCTCTATCTCTATTGTCCTCTTCTGCACAACCAGAGAAGCCTGCTCCTTAACTCAGGCCTCAGACAATTGACATTCATGAGTTTGGACATTCCGGTCCAGCCCCATTCATATGTACAGTAAGCACAGGGACAAAAGCCACCTCACACACTACAAAGCCCATCCCCCTTGCAAAGGGTCGCAGCAGAGATGCTGAGTGAATCTTAGTTGTTTAACTATAGACAAAAGTTCTACACTGTTGGTATATACGATGTAAATTCAATATACTTTGCAACATTGAATTTACAGTCAACAAAAATAGTCAGTATCTACTGTTAACTGCTGTTTGCAACTAAATGTGATAACGACTGAATCTGTCTGTAACTTCATGTGTTTTCCTGAGTAGATCTGATTTGGTGCAGATATTTAACATGTCAAGCTAAAGATAATCCTTCTTGCTTTGCAGGACCCTGGAAAAGCATGGCCTCCTCTGTGTTTCCAGAGGTGCATTGTGGGTAGGGGTGGAAAGCTCCTCTCATCGGGGTGGTAATGAGTTTCTGAGCCCCCATGTGTCATCACAGTAAATCCACATCTTATATTAGAGGCCCAGCACCCTCTCTCCAGTTTTCACATCAGCAAAGCAACGCGACCTCAAGAGCATCCAGTGGACTGCAGGGTAAAGATACGCAGACAAGAAACTGTAGGACAACTACAAGATAAGCAGTCTTAGTGTAAACAGAAAAAAAGAGAGTATTATATGCTGCAGCAGACATGGTGAAATAACCATGGTGAAGAGAGAAAACACAGACAGCTTGATGGCGTATTATGTGTTCTGAGTGTTGAGACAGACTGGGAAGGGCTGGTGCATGTTGGGTTTTAGGATTACCTTGTGCACATGTAAGAGGAGAGCCCCTCCTCCAACTGTGACCTAATGTGAACCAAGTCAAAGTTTAATTAACACCTGTCTGCAGCACACCCTTTGTTATTTTAACTCCCTTTTCTGCTGTCTTCCATTTGGTTGTAATGTTGTTTTTGTTTTATGGATGTCACTGTGTCTCTGACTTGTTTAATCAACAAACCAATGCTGGAGTTACTATTAGAAAATATTTTGATTTTTCCTTTTTTTTGATTACCTCAGATATGGACACCAGAATGAAATGTTAATCAAATAAGATGTGTGTTAGCAGAGAGAAAGAGTAGTACAGTGACCTGATATGTTATAAGATCAATGACCAAAGAGGCTCAGAGGCACGCGTTCTCTGCATTACCTCTGTGTTTACCTGTCCCAGTACTCAGAGTAGTTTGGCACGACACCTCTGCCTATTTATATCTCAGTGGACGGTGACAAGCATGTTCTACTTCAGACTGCTTTAGATGGACCATGTGAGGAAAGCTGTGTGTTGAGTGTGAAGTCAATTATCTGTTGCTTTGATACATTATTGTTGCATTTCATCTTTTCTATCTAAACTGTAGTAAAAGTTTAATTAAAAGAAAATGTTTTAAATACAACTGTATTCATGGATCTCATTTAACAAAAGTCATCACAGTTCTCTTTGTAATAATTATTAAAAGGCCTCGGCTGGTGTGGCATCAACTGAAAATGTATGATCTTGATTAGATGTGACCGTTTGCCCCATGTGTTCTCATGTATACCATTCAAGGTTAGAGCACCCCTGTGTAATAGGATCCCACATGACATCTGTAGTCTTTCAGTATGACTTGACAGCCATCCATAGGGAGTATGTTTGGTAACACCCCCTCTGCACTCAACTTTATACCCTATAAAATATCATGACCAAATCCTATTACCGTACAGGTGCACACCTGCTTCACAGCTTGCTGCTTTCAATTCCAACCCCAAAGGTATCAATCCCTTGCCGAATTACCTTTATCCAATTACATTATGTGGTTGTTAAAGGGATAGTTCACCCCGAAATCAAAAATACATATTTTTCCTCTTACCTTTAGTGCTAGTTTTTGATCAAGATTGTTTTGGTGTGAGTTGTCAGATTGTTTTGGTGTGAGTTGTCGAGTGTTGGAGATGTTGGGCGTTAAGATTTTTGCCTTCTTTACAATATAATGGAACTAGACGGTACTGGATCTGAATCACTGCACAGAAGGAAGCATGCATTTACTGCTAGCTCACCTAGCACCACTGAGCTAGCTAACACTACAGCTCAGCTAAGTAGGAAGCTAAGTAGGACACCATTAATGTTTAGAACTTGCGCTGTCTTTAACACAAGCCTCTTGTCCATTAGTCGATGCGCGCTTCCTCTTGTGTGGTGATAAGTTTGGCTTATGCAGTTCAATACAAGGAAAGTGGTTGTTACATTAAACTGCTCGCAACAAGGTCTGTGGATTATCTTGAGTAGCTGGGTCATGATTTTTGTTAAGAGACATTGCTGTTTAGTTTTTCAAATGTTCCTTTTTGGTGCTCTGAGTATGACAAACTGAGTGCCATGTGGCTCCATTATAGTGTAGAGAAGGCAGACATCTCTACAGCCGCAATTTCCAACAATCAGCTCACAAAAATATCTAGATTGATAAATGGCACTACATGTAAGATTTAAAATACATATTTTTTAGTTTGGGGTGAACTGTCACTTTATGGCACTGATTCTGCATAAAATATTCCATGTATTTAATTCAGAATAAACAAACTTAAGCAGGAAGGAGGACTGGAGTGGACAGGTGGACTCACCTTCTTAAACAATGAGTTTAAAGAAAGTAAATGACAGACATGTTGAACACAAAAAAAGACAAGCCCAGAGACAGCGAGGGTACAAAAAGGCCCCTGACCTCTCTTTTGTGGGGAGATGTGCCCTCAGAGATGAGCCGGCTCTACAGCTGGAAAGGTCAGCAAGCACACAGGGTCAAGCCGGCACAGTCTCGCTATACTCAACATCAAAGACAAGTCCAGCGCCTGTCACGCTCTCTGAGTTGGGTTGTAAACAGCAGCACTAATCCCACTGACCACTCGCTGTCGCTCTTTTGGTGGACAGAGGTCAGCTGGATGTATAATTCCTAATAAGTTGATTCAATTGTGGCAACTCTTTAAACTAAAAATGCTATCTTTGATGTGTGAAGTCTCTGCCCTTTAGACCTGTCTTGTGTTTGATGAATAGAGAAAAGAATGCAGATGAATTAACATACATGCCCTGTAGTGAGCACTTGTATTCAAAGAATGATGCATTTTCTTCTTGAACATTTCTAGTTAAGAGAATGAATAAATGGAGAATCCATGAGTCTGAAAAAATAATGGTCTCCACAGTGATTAAATCTGAAGGGAACAAAACTTCAAAGTAAAATTTGATGAGATGCCAAAAATGTTTGTCAGCCTTATAAGCTTCTTAGTTGGGAACTATAAGGTCACAGTGGCTTTCTAATGGGAGAAACATTATTATGTATGACCACGGGAGAGAGTGCTGATGCTCAGACGGCCAGTCACTAGACTACTTACCTTCACAAGTGTCCTTTTGCTCACCCTGTCTTTGCAAGAATTTTAATGGAAAGATACCAAGGCAGATTTTGGAAATGAGATTATTGGGCAACTCTGTGCAGCTGCCCGCCATTTAATCTCCTCATGACAGCTCAGAAATGAGGAGCCTCTTATCATCTGTCATTCTTTCTAAATCCCATGTGCCCCTTGCCATACACCAACTGTTTTAAAACCTCAGGTCTCTTCTCAGAAACCTAGAGCTTCTGCTTCCATCATCTTAATGTCTGTTTGAGAAACTGTAGGAGTGTGACTGTGTGTTTTAGTGCTTCAGTACAAGTGTGTTTACTGACATTTAAATGACTCAGACTGAGAAGTTTCACCCTCTAATTAAACAAGACTGTCTGGGTTGATTGTTGAAGATGCAACTCATTAAACCAACAGCTGGGCAGGAAACCAGATAAGAAGCAGTTAGAGCTATCTGTGCTAAATTGGTCAGCCTCAGTGGGACATTTCTGAGGATTAAATGGGGATTTTTTTCAACATGTCTCCTAAAGAGTCACAAGAAGAAGAGTGAAGTTGGTGGATTAGATTTTGCAAACATTGTGTACGCACTGAAAAAATTGCGTGCTATTAATAGCAAAATCTAGGAATTAGCTCAAACAGCAAGGACAATGATGCAGTTAGCTGTCTAAAGATGTAAGAAAAGTCAAGACTACATAAACAAACCATCCCAATATATATTAAATACATTTATTCTAATAAGTCAAACATGGATAGTTATAATTAATAAGCAAAATAAAGAAATTAACAGATAATAGTTTGTAATAAGAAATGTAAAAAGATTGTTTTTATTTTTCAGGTACATACAATTATATGACAGAAATGTCCATGAAATTATCAATGCAGCCACATGCTATGAGAAACTTTAATTACAACAACATAAATATTCACAAATTAAGTGTAAGTGTAATAACTGTGTTATACATGCTTTTATACAATGCACCTTTTTGTACAGTTTCAGGTTCAACTAATGTAAATTCTTAACATTTTTTAAAGAAAACAATCAGTGCACACATGGAGTCCAGTCTAATTGCTGCTTCTCAGTGATAATTAAGGTTGCTGTGCTCAAAGACCAGGTTTCCATACAGCTCTCTGTTTTCCCAGCAGTTCTCACTCTGCCAGGGGGAACTTTGCTACACCAGGGTCATGACCTTCAGGGAAGCAGGCTGAAACCGACGAATCTTCTTTTTCAGGGCACGGGAAGCTTTGATGCGGCAGGCTGATGGCTCGGGGCGTGGGAGATGCTGGAGGGACCGTCCAGCAGCGGTGGGCCCCAGAGCCGCCTCAGCCCACACCAGACCTCTCTCGTCCTGGCTGTCCACCTGGTCCTCCTCGTCCAGGGACAGACTGCTGTCAGAGTCTGAGAAGGACTGGAAACTCTGGCTGGACTCGCTATCTCCGAAGCGGTTGGTGGTGTTATCACTCATCTCCCCCTCGCTACTTTCAGCAATGGTGGAGTGAAACAGTGAGGCGCATTCAGCCGAGTACTCAGACTCACATCTGGGTGGGTATTGGCTAGACATGTGGAAGGCTGCTGGAGGGTATCTGGCATTAAGATTGTGAAGGAAAGAGTTAGAGGAGATGGAGGATTGGAAGGAGCGAGGAGGTCCTATCCACTGGCCTGACTTGGCACTGATACTGCGGACCATCTGCATGCTCCCTGGGGCCTGAGCATGAGGCTCTTTTGACCTCTGACGCTGAGCACGTAAGGCCTGGAACATCTCTACATCGGACGGCCATTTGTCAGCCCCCTGCCTCCTCTTCCTCAGCTCTACAGGCTGCTCATACTCCAGGCACTGCAGTCTGCGGCTTTTGCTGGACTTCATAACAACAGGGATGGGATGTGGCTTAGGATGGACCTTGTGGGTATACATGAGTCCAGGGCTACAGTGGCTAGAGTCTGAGCCTGAGCCCTGTCTGCGCTCCTCTGAGTGACAGGTGGTGAATTTCTGGGTCACTTTTGCTTTTCCTGATCTTCTCTGATCCCCCTTGTTTCCACAACTGGCCTCTATGGTCCTTTCACCCGAAGAGTAGCCATGTTGCTGCCTCATGGCTCGAGGCTTCTCGCTGCTTTTTCGTCTCAGTTTCACAGCTTTGGTTTTACGGTCTGCTTGTCTCACCTTGACTCTCTGAGTTCCAGCGGGGACAAATTTGGCATGGACAAACTCAGGGGAAGCTGCGTGACCAGCTTGAAACTCAAAGCCTTGACTGTCCTCTGTGCTGGAGCTGTGGGCCATTACTCTTTGCCTATAACCCCGCCTCTCTAGTGGCATTGACTGTAAATGATTCCCAGATCTATTCTCTGAATTGCTTCTTATTACGCTACCATATTCTCCATGGGGTTTATCATTCTTCCTCAGAGATAAAGTGGTGACCTCATCAGAGCTGTACTCCCTCACCGCAGTAGGATAGGAGTATCGGTATGAAACCTCTGGGGCTCTCACTGACTGATTGTGGTTTGGGTTATCAGCCTGCTCTTGGCTGGAAAATGTCATGCAGTGTCTCTTCTGGTCACTATCTATTGGGATGATGTTTGTGGTCTGGGCTGGAAGAGGCTGCAGCACAGACACCTCTTTCTGAGATACTTCAGGAAACACAGTTAAAACTTCAGTGGGTCTCCTGTGATAGTCACTGTGTGTCTGCAGAGTCTCTGCGCCTGTTTCACTCTGGACTTTGTTCAAGCTGCGCAGGAGGAGCTTGTCAATATAACCAAGGGTCTTGGTCTCATGACCACTTTGTGCCCTCTGGAGAGTGTCAGAACCATTCACTGGGGGGCCTTGGCCCTCTAGAGGTCCAGGTGTTGCTGGGTCACCTCCATGGGAAAAGATTGGACTCTGGAGAGCCACAGCATGCAGGGGGCTGGGGTAGTGGTACACTTCCGTCCCACTGCGAGACACCAGGTTGCTTTGGAACTTGGGGTCCATTGTGGAGGTCTTCAGGTTTGAGCACATCGAGGGTTTCTTTGCATCCACGGATTTGTAGTAGCATGGTCCTTGAGCCATCATCCTATCAAGATCACCTGATAAACACAAAGACAACACAAAATACTGATTTTATCTTTTAAATCACTCATCCAATGATACGTTACAGTGTTATGCAGCAAAATACATGTTATGTTGCTGGGTAACAACCGTTGCACAATTCCCACTACGGCATGACAGACTAAATCTAATTAGAGATTGAGAGATTTGGTTACCTGTTGACACAGGTCTCGGTCGAGCCTTTTCGGTGCTTGCTCGGATCCTGCTGCTGCCCAGATGGAGGCCTGTGGCCCGCGGAGGGTTGGGCTGGGTGGTGCTCTCATCAGCAGAACGTCTGCGGCATACATCTACTTGTACTGGCGGGGGAATGTGGGAATTTGCAGGACTCGTGGGAAGGAGGAGAAGGCTTGTCTGAGAGGATGACAGACACTCGCTGTACACGGAGGTGCAGGAGTTGGACAAGGAGCAAGAGCCGCCATCACTGAGCTCATAGAAACCTGGAGAGCGCAGAACAATTATGCACATGAGTATTTTTCTCAGTATCTAACATCATGTGATTTATTACTTGCTATAAAGCAAACAGCCGTTGGGCTTTTGGTGTCAGTGTTTACTCACACACCTGAACTTGGCCTGCTGTCACTCTCCAGCTGCTCTGTGGAGGCCTTGCTCACGTCCAGCTTCAGCTCACTGATCTGTTGATCCAGCTGCTGCAAATGTGTCTTCAGGCCAACATCCTGTTTTCGTAGACGAGACTGTAAAACAGGCAACAGATAGCAATTTAGCCAACCCCCCAAAAAAGGTGTAGTAAGCTATAACTTGAACCAAAGAACAAGTCTTTACCAATTTTCTTGAAAAGGAGGGAGTTCAAGAATTGGAAGTTCTGCAATAAAGCTTCTCATGCACGCACATGCATGCAATTACACAAAATTCTCTCTGCAGGGTAAAATTGCTATAATTTCATCAAGATGAGGCCTGTTGTTCAGATAAAAGATGCTCTAATGTACAGCCATCAGAAAAACAAAAGCGACTCAGCTGTGGCTGATGATTAACCCCAGCAGGACATGGGGGGGCATGGAAGAAGCAGTGGTGGGTAACTCATTTCTCCCCCACAGTGAGGGCCTGGCCATTGTGTAAACTAATAGGGGAGGAAAGCTTGGGGGTTGGAATGAAGGACTGTTTGCTTTGCAGCTCGGGCTGGGCATTTACTGTTACAGTGGTTCTTATAATGAGGGCTGGGGGGTCATTGCCTGCAAAATGCAGCATATAATTAATGTTTCATTCTCTTGTAAGATCAAGTTGGTTGACTTTTATTTAAACTGGCAAAAACGGAGCTCTTGGAAAGTGTTCTGGGCCATTAAGTCTATATGTAGCTGCTGGTGTTTTTTAAATATGGGGTGTTGTGAGCCTGCAGTGAATCCATTTTGCGCAAATGTAAAACACAATTTAAACCATATGTTGTCCCAGTACTTTGCAATGTAATCTTTCCATGCATTTACCCACTTTTACTTAAAGTCATGGACAGCACCTTAATGCCCGCACTTCCTTTAAATGCTTACAACAGCAGCCTTCACGGAAAAAGCTTGTCATGGAAAAACTCAACACAGCCAGTTGTCTCTAACAATCAGGGGCCCTCATGACTGAATGTCATTTAAAGCAAATTGAACACATTTAAAAAACACACCACCATTTTTTTAATATATTCCCTGGCATTAGTGGTTAATGATTGAGGTTTGCCCCCTGCAGTCTACACATGTACTGTGTGCACGCACATACACAACTCAAAGTCCTCCTGGTCCTGCAGTGAACCATGATTTATGACACCTTTCCTACTTCCTACCCCCAGCTGAGAACATTAAAGTGTGTCTGCTAATAATTGAAGACGGGCTGCTCATGAGCATCAGCTGACCACTTTATTCCAAGGACAGTGAATGAGTGTTTGTCCCATCGTTACTAATAAGAGCTATAATAAAGGCGCAAATATTCTAGTGACACCAAACTACTACCTGCACTTAATGCTTCCAGAAAGTTATTTTAATGTTACTGTTTTATGGTTTCTGAAATAAATTGCTTCCTACCAGCTGTTGCTTCAGGGTTGTCAGGGTCGCCTCCAGCCGCTGCTCCTCAGCCCCCATCACCCTAGGACTCTCCGGGCCTGTGTGGACAACAGTGACCGGCTCCTCTCGGTCCATCCTCAGCGCCCAGCTCACCATGTCGCTCTGCCTTTCCTTCAGCAGATGCAGCTCCTGCAGCCCGGCCAGAGCAGCCTGCAGCCTCTCCCCGACCCTGCTACGGTCCACTCCGGCTGCGACACTCATCATCCCCGCACTAGACCCCTTCCTGCTCAACATGATGGAGAGCTGCGTCCGGGCATATCCAGGCACAAATGCGCTGTAGAAGAAACGTCCTTGCTTAGACTTGGTTGGCTACTGTCTTGCTGCTGCTGCTGCTGCTGTTGACCTGTTTGGTTTTTAAACTACCTGTTAGAATAAATCTTGAGCTCAGAGGAGAAACTGAGCTCCTCCCACACACCAAACGGCCCTCCTCCCTATTGGCTGACCGCTGAGTCCCAACCAACATCTGGTACTAATCCTCCCCATTCAAGTCCTCACTGAAGCTGCCCAGGCATGTACTAGGTTCATCTGCATAATACCACATGGCTATTTACACTATTCTTTTGTTGTTATTATTCTCTCCAGTAGTAGGGTACTCAGAGATATGGGATCAAATTCAAGCCTGTGGGAGATTTCAGGGAATAAATATGGCATGTCCTCTCATTACCATCAGACAACTACTCATCAAATAATAATAATAATAAAAAAAGTTAAATCACCTGCAAAGTATGTTCATAAATAGTTCTAAGGCAAACAATCCACGCCTTTTGAAAGGGATTGAAGCTGCAGCTCTAGTTCTGTGCAAAGCTTTAAAAGCTTTAAATCATATTTATAATGGATGGATCTATATCATATCAATCACTTTTTATTTTATCCAATGTAACATAAATCTTCGACTTAAAAACTACCAAACAAATTCATTTACTTTTTCTATTTTGCCGTGGAAATAAGGAACACAGAAAAATATTCACAGTGGTGGCAGTAAGGATCAGTGATAGATAAATAACGCCCCTTTGTGGCAGTAAAGAATACTACAATTTGTTGACCTGCACATGAGTTTGAGTCACATGCATCTGTCTGTCCCATGCTGGGAGGTCAGCTACCTAGATTAAAGTGTACACAAAGACAGAGTGGGAAAATAGCCAGTCTAACCTGGACTTAGTGAGATCCAAAAAAGACTTAACTCAATTAGTAGACATATAATTTTACTAGCTGTCTTAGTGGGGGATAGCTGTCTTAGTGAGAGAGTTTTATTTTTTAAATTTGCCACTGCCCAAAAAATATCAAAATTAATGTTATTGCTTGTCATTGACATATCACAGACTGTGAAAAAATAAATATTCCCCCCTTTACACCTTCACTTTGCCACATCAGTTGCATCATGTAAACAAACTGCCATTAAATGGTTAAAATCCCCCCCAAAAAATGAATGTAATAGTTATGTTCACGGCTGAAATTGGTTAAATGATTTAACACAGTGTATATACTTATACTTTAATATCTATTTGTGAGTTTTTTGATTCAAACACTTTTATCCTCTAAGGACGTCAGAGGCAAAGATGTTATAATGTGTTTCAAGACTTTTGAAATGAGATAGTAGAGCAGTATTTCACTGTGGTATTAACAGATAATTTCCCCATGTTACATAATGTTATTATGTGACATAGCAGAGGATATGTGAGTGAAAGTGGACTGAATTTAACTGCCGTGGACAAGATGTGGAAAGATCTCTGTGGCTACCCACAAAGATACCAATAGTCATTAAAGGTCTAGCATGTAGGATTTAGGGGGATATACTGGCAGTAACTGAATAATAATTATATTTTCTTAAGCCTTTAATCACCAGAAAATAATAATTGTCTTGTTTTCGTTACCTTACAATAAGCTGTTTATATCTATGTAGGGAGTGGGTCCTCTTCCATGGAGCCCATCATGTTTCACCACCATGTTTCTACAGTAGCCCAGACCAGACAAAACAAACACTGGCTCTGTATAGGATCATTTACATTTTCATGTCAGCCACTATAATTAGCAGTCTGTCTGTGACAAGCAGCAACAGAAAAACACTAATAGTTAAAATGTGAAACAATTTATTTGCTGTTTTTATCAGTTTTAATAACCAGGTCCATTTCTTTTGGAGAGGAAGAAATTTCTCTGGATAATTTGGCTCCTGGTAAAAACCTCCTGAGCACAATGAACACTGAAGGAATCCTTCCCGAGAGTCCACACTTGGCACGAGAGAAGTTAAAGCTGGTTGCAATCTGCGATTTGTCAATGCCAGATGCCACTAAATCCTAAACACTTTTCCTGGAAATATCTGGATGGTGAAAATTAAGTTAATATTGATGGCATTCAGTAAGCTTGGTGCTGGAGGATGTGGAATGATAGAGAAGCACTCCCATTTTTGAGGGGATTCGCTAATATTTGGACACTGATAAAGAAAAAAAAAGATAAGTTTTGATATCTCACTTATTTCAATGTATTCAATATTCAGGGGGGGGGGGGATCCCTAAAGATGTAGAAGATCAATAATATATGCATGCCTATAATGGTTGCTAGGAAACCATAAATTGGATGAAATTACTCTCACCAGACCTGTGTTAATGTACACATTTATTGACATTTGTTTATTTGTGTGCAGGGCTTCAATACTGTTGTAATAAATAGTGAATATTCTAACCCTCTGTTATAGGCCTATGCTTTGTCATTCAGTCATTAGCTAAGTCATATTGTTTGCACTTATATGCTGCTATGTATGACTATTTTTATTTGATGCTTCCTGTGTTTTTCATTTCTTTTTGAAACAATTTAGTCAACATTTGTTGTTTTTAAATGTGCTCTATAAATAAATCTGACTTGACTTGACTTGACTCCATGCCGAGTGAAATCATATCACTGGACACATTTGTTTATTATTTTATCTCTTCTCTTTCCTCTTTTCTTTCCTCTCGAGCTGCCTGTGGTTCACCGAACTTAATGATGAAGCACTTCTTCTTCTTGCCAATAATCTGATAACAACTAAATAAGGGAATGATTGGGCCCTCATCACCGGTGGAGGCAACATGAGGTCGGCCACGGGCTATTCACCTACACTGCTGCTGTTCACACTGCATCACAGGTGGGGAGGAGATTCTCTCGTGCTGATATCTGCAGCTATCTTGAAGCCGGAGTTCAAAGGAAATACCAAAATGCCGGGAGGGGTGTACACCTGTGTGAGTATCTGACACACACACACACACACACACACACACACATAGTCAGATCAAAGATAAGGTGATTAAAGTATTTTGAATATGAAATAAATACACTAACTACTACTAATACACTTTCTACTTTTCTACTTAACAATATGTGGATTACATGCTGTTTTAATCACATTTAAGCCCTTAATTCACAACAATATGCAATGAATTTAAAACCATTAACTTTAAGTCACTAGAGGGCAGTGTCACACTACTTCTAAATTTTATGGGTTTAGTTTTATACTTTGATTTATTACTGGTGGATAGTCTATAGATGTTATGGATGCTGCACATTTCTCTCACCTGGAAATATGTAATTGAATGACTCTAGGTGCAAGATGAAGCTGTTTCATCCATTCATCATGCAGCTAATCATGACATTTGCAGATTTTTGAGGGAGATAGGGAGCTAAATCACTTGTTTACCCATCCCTGATTGCAAAAACACATCCCCATCACTTTGATGGTAGGCCCCTCATCAAGATGCTCACACTATAGCAAATATACAAAGCATTGTGAAGCCCACTCCTCACGGGGATAGCGTCATGTCCTTGTGATGCTGCTGGCACACAACGCTTTATTGTGATGCCTGGATGTCCCTCTGCCCCCATACCCTTCAAAGCACTTCCTTCAGGGTGACATCAGCTGGGGTGCTGCTCCAGAAGGTGCCCTCTATTTAGCAATCAAGTGTGGGCTTTGTAGTGGAGTCAGCATGGCTCTCTTAACTCCGTCCACCCTGGCTTCTCAGGGAAGAAAAAAAAAAAAATTACCTACCATTTTGCAACTCCAAACAGCTTTGTCTCACTGGAGGTTTCTCTTTGTGTGGCTTCTTCTTTGTGTTTGCATTTATCAGCAGATTTTCCAGCCTCCTTCCTTCTTTTCCATCCACTTATGAAATGATAAAGCAGCCAAATGTTGATAACAAAACAAAAGCGCGTGGGCAGGGATCCCTCTTTACTGTAACCATGATACGTCTTCAAAACAGCCGCTGTGGAAAGAGTGTGACAAAGAGTTTGTACCTGCTCAGGTAGATACAGACGGGAACAATACAAGATGCTGCCACAAACAGGATGCGTGGGATGGAAGTCAGAGAGGTAAACATGAGGTGTTGTCATATGTGGGACTGAGCGTGTGTCTGTGTGTATGTGTTAGAGGAAGAGCCGGGGAGTGAATGTGTTGTCAGGTCTGTGTCCATGGAGAAAAAAAACAACCTTTTCACATGTAGGCATTATGAGCTTATGACTTCAAAGGAGGAAAATCTGATATCATACAGAAAACACTCTGATGCGTGCTTGAAAAGACGCAGGATTCCTGTGATGGGTGTTGTTGATTTTGAGCTATTTCCGTAGGCTTGTGTATTGTCACATATTTCTGTATGTGTGTGTATGTGTTGTTCTTGTTGCGTGTCAGGGGATTCCCATGCAGGTTCTCTGATTGAAAATCCCTTCTCCCTGGTATTCTGTCATCAACACAGGCAAAGATAGAGAATTTCGGAGATCAAAGTGTCCTTGTGTGGCTGACAACAGAGCCTCCGTCCCTCTGCCACCTCTGACCACTGCAGTAACCTCCAACACAATTCTCGCAAGCTACAGCGAGTAGATGAAATAACCTCACACACTACTTTCTGATGTTAACATGTGGCCACTCGGTTAGATCTCTGTTCCTGAGTTACTGAGGGAGATTATGGAATTAGGATTTATTTCCAAGTGAGTTTTACCGGCAATGAAATGCATCTGTTCTCTATCTGCAGCTTATTAAATAGATATATCCCTTTAAAAGAAAAAGGCATCCAGTGAATTCATCTCCGTGGTTTTGGGTGTTTTGAAACCTTAGACTTATTCTTAATGCCCCAAGTGATTTCTAATCTAAAACACTCCAACTCTATCTCACCCATGAGACTTGTCAGGGATGGGCTGCTTGAGTCTCAAAGTCCATGAAACAAAAATTCACATTTGTTGTTTTAGATTTTTTCGGACACTTCCAACAAAACCCAAAGCTTCATCCAAGAAACATAACGCATCCCTGCTGACCGATATCCACTTTATGTGTAACAGTTCCCGGGGTTTTACAAGGTATTTGAGATATGTTCTGCTTCATAACTGGTAGCGCCTACAGA